ATTTTTTATTATAATTTTATACATAATAAATACATATTATTAAATTTCAATTAATAATTTTTTTAATACTAAACAAATTAATTTAAGCTATGTATAGGAAAATAAATCAATTTATTTGCCTCCCATAATATTGATTTTATTTTGGTGTATCGCTCTTGTATATAATCATGCAAAAAAAAAAAAAAAAAAAAATTAACAAATTAGTGACTTTCTTCTTTCGTGAACTGATTTATCTGCTTACACGTTCTGTGATCTGTAAATTGTTATTATTATTATTATCATTAGAGTAAATTATCAAAATAGTGCCGTGATTTCAACTATTTAGATAGGATATTTATTGCTTGTAAGTTCATAAAAGTGTCAAAAAATTCATGGATTTTTTAATTTGAGATTGAAATAGTTATCATGAAAAACCATTAGATCGAGCTGAGATTATAAGCAACTCATGTAAATAGTCTAAGACTATTTTGACACTCATTATTATTATTATAATTGTCATTGTCATTGTCATTTTATTGAGAAGCACAAAGGCATTAATATGTGAGATTCCATTTTAATATTTTGTTAATAACACTTAAAATTTTCTTAATTACTTGCAACTCTGTTAATCACTCACCAATGTCACCATATAATTTGATGATACGAAGAAACCCAATAGAATCACTATCATGCTCCTCTGCCCGGTTTTGAATTCATTTAAAATATTTTATTTTCTATCTTATTTGTTTTTTTTTTCGTCTCATCATGTTTATTCACGTAAAAGTTTTGTTTACGTGCATCATTGGATGACAAGTCGGGAGGCAACAACGTTATTTGTGGTAAGACCCTTCTGACCTGGGTTCGATTCCTACCAAGACTAATATCACATAAGAGCGATGAGTACGAGATACAAAAATCATCGAGTTCAGCTCCTAATCAAACAGATGTTTCTAAATTAACCTAATATTATTTAATTGTCTTTTTTTTACTATTTTAATGAAGAATTAATGTATGTAAATGGAGTCATTAAGTCTATATTAGTGTTGTTTATTAAACATTAAGTGTACCTATGACAGGACTGCTTCTCTTGGATGACTCATGCTCAGAATGCATTGCTTCAAATTCAACGTTACAAGTTATAAAATCAACAATTCAACAAACACGCATTTAAACATTATATTTTATTTTATTCCAATTTATAGCTCCTTGGGTCAAATTCAAATTCGCTGGCATACTAAACTAAGATTTAGGACTGTTTCTAACCCTATAGCTATACATAGTATCATTACTATTCAATGGAGGAATAGGGCATATTAGGGTCCGTTTGGGGCAGCTTATTTGGTGCGGTGGCGTTTTGAAAACGCACCTAACCTGTTTAGGTAAACTGCATTCTGACAACTTATGCGTTTTAAAAAAGCTGAAAATAGCATTTTCACACCGCACCTATCTAGGTGAGGTGCGGTTGTAACTTTCTGGCAGCGGTCTGACTTTTCCGAAAAAATAAAAAATTGTAATAGTCACTGCACCTAGCTTATCAGCAGATTATT